AAAGAACAAGAAAAAGAAAAGGAAAAAACAAAGCCCGGCAGATGAATTGAATACATACGGAAACATTCTTAGCAATTTTTTTCAGGTTTTATCTATACAGGTAAGCATAGAGGGAACTGGGAGAGTCAAGTGAAGAGATATACCAGTATGGAAATATGCATAGTAGGTCAGTAACTCATTTAAAACAATTAAACTGCAGCCGTATTCAGCATAGTACCTCGTTATACAATTTTTTTTTATCCCTAGCAACAGATATGAGATCCTTATTTCAAGAAAAATAAGATACTTTACATGCCAGAAGATTTTTTGATGACAGTACTCCCTCCTATTCTTCATTTTTTAAAACAACAACCAAATTGGTGGGGAGGCAGCCAAAATTTGAGGTACCAATGCCTCTCGAACAGATGTCGCACCATTATTTTTTAGCTCGTTTAGATGAATAAACATGTTAAACTGTGAAGTATTACATTTTAGATTTTTTCATTAAAAAAAGAGACAATCTGTTTACTGTCCTAATTGAGACAACAATCCTTGTGGTTGCCAGTTTTGGCAGTCATAACAATGAACTATAAATATTTGGACCAATCAAGTAAATGGTGACTATAAAGGCTATAGCATGTGTAAAGTTCTGTTTTCACGGGCACCCATCTTACTATGGCATTTTTTTCAGACTTCTTCAAATACAATTGTTTGTGTGAAACTGAAGTTTCATGGTAAACCTAAAAGAAATTGATCTCAATATCTAATTTCTTTCTAGTTTATCATCCTTTTTAGTGTTCAACTATCCATCTGCTTGTAACAAATTGCTTCTGTAGTTGCTCTATTGAATGTGACAAGGCAGGTCTTCATTGGATTGCCTTCTGTGTATGTCCTAGCATAACGCAAAATTCTGAGGTTTTATTTTTATTTTTTTTCATATTTATAAACTGAGACCAAAGACATTTTAAAGGTCTCTTAAATTGCAGCATTTTGTTTTTTAAAAGAAGGTTTTATAAATAAACAATGGTGGATGTCACTCTTGCTGTAGCAGCCAGGAGATGGAGTTCATAATGTTAGCCCCTATTAGGATGCTTTACATGAAACAATAGTGTGGGAGAAGTTGATAGACTAAAGAGAAATAACTCATACATGAAAAATTATTTATTATGTTAGTTCCCAAACATTCGTGATTTAGATAGCAAGTGCCCTGCTAGGCATTTTATTTTCTAGGCATATTATTTGAGTGTTTTTGTTCCCTTCTCCAACTCTTCACTTTCTACTCTATCTTCCTCAATTCTAAATTCCAGGCAATCTTTAACATTCTCTCTTGGTTTTTTTGAAACTCACTTCTACTTTAATGGGTTAGCACCCAATCATACTTAAATATGTACTTACTATATTGTCTGCCTCTATTCTTTTACTTAAACTCATCATTGTTC